TTTAGAAACAATAGGTTTTGGATAGGAATCAAACCTAACCAGAAATGAATTAATGTCAACTGAAATGATTAAAATATTATTACCGTGAAATCAGACCAGATATCGACGCAGAGTTCAAGAGTTTATCAAATCCCGTAGTCTCTTGTTTTATTCGCACATAATGAAAATACGAACGCTTGACAATAACTCCGTTCGCGAACACAAATTAAATTTATTAAAAATATGCATCGCCTTGCGTACTTTGCATAACGTAGAAACATATTCGCGTGTCATTTTTACACGTGGTTCCTATGAGCATAGGCGCAACTAGGGGGGCAATAGAATTTTTATCACCTCTGAGTTCAAATGTAGCACTACTGTTTTTGTTTTCAAATCCACATAATCTATAGCAATTACAGTTAAAAACCATTTAATTTTATTTCAGCAATTTCAGCACCGCCAATATTTGGGCTCTAATTGCGCCCATGCGCACGGAAGCATTTCGTATGTTGAAGGGCGCGAATTTCATCACTACTTATGTAATATTTTTCACGAAATATGAAAAATATGTAGTTCAAATAATTTTATTTGATAATGTCATTGATAAATTTTCCTCTATTGAAGCAAGTAAAGTACCGTTATAATATTGTGCTAAATAAATTTAAAATCATCTAACACAATTGTAAAACAAAAATATTTGAAGAAAATTACATGTTTTTATAATCAGTTAATCGCTTATATTTTTAAGTAATACAAATAGTTATTTAAGTTTATTAGCAGGGCTAGGATTAGTGTGCAACAGCATAAATTTTTTGCGACTTCTGTTTATTGATTTTGTCTGTAATGTCCACGAATCACCTCATAATGAGATAAATTTCATATTATTGCATATTTCGATTATAAGAATACAAAAAATGAATGTTTTATAGTATATTTCATAATTAATATTTCGTATTTAATTCTAGCCCTGCTAATAAAAGTATAAAACTTGGTTTTTTTTGTCAAACATAAATTTTATTTAATTTTATTTCTCAATTATAATATGTTAAGACAAACAGCCAACCACTGATATATTTCAATAAATAAATATTTTTTTGTAACTATATTTTTGTGTTTATTTTATAAAAATTAAAATGCATATTTTTGCATATTTTGGTGAATAAAATGCATATTTTACAATTTTTTATTGCATACAAATTCTAGCCCTGTTTATTAGTAATTATTACCTTATATACTATATTTTTTGTACACGCTTTATATATCTCAAATGATATTTTGTAAAAAAATGCAATTTTCCATTAGGAGGGGGGGGGTATAAATACAGTAATTCGCCAGAGGCGCCCCAGACGTCAATACGGCCCTGCGCAATCAAACACACCTATAACGGATTTTTATTGTACACTATTGTTTTCGTCTCAAGCAGCATTAATCAAATTTTAAGCGGACATCGTTCGAACGCGAAAGCGAAAAACGATTACTTCACGGTCTCGGAAAGATGCCGTGCCAGCCGATAGATCATGAAGATCAACGTCGTTTACATGCACGGTAAAAAAATGTGCAGAAAGTATTGCGATATCAAGGTAAATGCGCTCGGGACGCAAAGCCGTGTAACCGGTTCCGGATTTTGACGGCGGTGCAGTGTGGGTGAACGTTCCGGACGCAGGAACTGGATTTTTTCAACGACAATAAATAATACGTTGCGATCGTATGTAAACGATTTCGCATTTTATAAAACGTTTTTTTTTTTTTTTTTTTTTTTATCGAAAAACGATTCAACAAAACACGACACGTGCGATGAATAAAATTATAAGATTGATCTCCGGACATCGGTTCGTTTTCAGTCCATTAGTATTGCGTGCGTCCATTCGTTTCGTGTTGAAGAAAAATGTTTATTTCCCGGACGATAGGAGATGCTCACTCAGACTTCGAGGGCATGGGCGTATTTTAGGGGCGATTGAAGAGGCGATCGCCCACCCTTGAATCCGTATTTAAGGAATTGATTATATGTAAGATACATATTTCAAATTTTTTTAATGTGGATCATTTTATAACGAAATCAAATCACGCGTGGCTGTGAATTGGGCTTTTTGTCGGGTCCGTATTTAGTGAAAAATCAAATAAAACACAAGCGTAATTTTCAAAACACAAACAGGTGTTAAAAAATAACTACATAAAAGTCGATTCTAAGTGGATCCGGCATTAGTTTCAAAAATAAAAGAACAACAAATATTAAGGATTCGCCTGATTTAAATATTGCCAAATATCTTACTTGTAAATTTTGAGCCTGAATTAAAGAAAAATTTTGAGTTACCCCCCCCCCCCATATAATTAAGTTTAAATACGCCCCTGTTCACGGGACTCAAGCCCGGCATTGCGTAGAAGGCGCGCGCCGTCGGATCGGCTGTAACGTGAAGTCGCGTGTCGCCGACTTGCGGAAGGCCAATCGATTTGCCGAGTGATGTACGATCGTTACGAGGGGCCCGTTGTTGTGTGCGAGCCGTAATGAATAAAAAACAAATAATTCTTAACGTTCTTCGTGGCGCACACGACGATGCTAGTTAGGGCTGGACGTTGAGAACATTGAATAATATGTCTGAAAAAAGAAAAATTGAATATTATTTATTACAAATATACGTGTAATAAATAATATTCAGTTTTTTTTTTTTTTTTAACACGTCATTATAAATTAACGCGCTCGTTAGGTTGGTCATTGTCATCGCGAAGAAACCGGTTCGTGGAGGCAACAAGTGTCGGATTCGCGAGTTGTCGGTCAGTTCCTGGTGACGATCGATGCACCGCCACGTGCCAGTCAGGACGAAAAGGATGGCCAGAACAGGCGTGATGACGGGACAAGGAGGGCTTGAACCCTGGGTCGTCTCAGCCTTCTGTACAAAATTATTTAACATTTCTCATTCGTCGTAGATGCAAATATAAATATTTTCATTGGACTGAAGTACGTGCGAGTAATATTTATATCTTGGGCAAACAAACGTAAGTGAAGGAGTCCTCAAAAGTTCTTGTCGGCCGAAGGGACCGGGAGTTGCGACGTCGAATTTTGCGTTCCGACACATCCGCACAGGCCATTGTCGTCGATCAACCGATACTACAGTTCAGGGGCCGATACCTTTACCCGGGAAAATAGTACCCGAAAGAGTCGAATCCCTGGAGGATCTCGGAAACTAGATTCCAGCGGGTCCGTGGCACAGAAACGCGGTCGGAGACGATAAACGCAGTGCGATTGAAATCGGGCGCTTTTCGGCCGGGCAGCAGTCCCGTAACACCTGTTACTACGACGATGACTCGGCAATTTAGACATGTTAACTAAATTATTAGTCAATAGGTCTACGATTGACAATGCGCGCGCGCGCCCGCAGGCTCATCTCGGACGTGACGCGGCCGTAAACACGTAACGTCGGCCTTGCCTCGCGCACGTTCGCAGTTACGAGGACGACACGTGTTCTCGCGACGATAATTGTTGCGGTGGACGGGAATCGAATCCACCGAAAGTCCGACACGTTTCGGTTTTCAGGGTGGAAAATATTCGGATTTCGGTGTTCCTATTGAATTATTATTAATTTAATTATTATTAGAAAACATGTTTGGTCGTCAAAACTTTGTTGAAAGTCGCTTTGGTGAAAGAACGACGCTAATATGGTTTTTCCCATCACCAGTCGTAATGCGCGACCGACGTACGTATTTTCGCGATCGAAGGGAGAGAACGCGATGCGGCAACGTACCGTCGATACGCGAACCCGAAACCGGAAACGACGTTAACAGTCGAACGTTGATGTAGAAAAAATAAATAAAAAATTGCGTTTGTCGACCGCGAGCAACAACATGACTTCCGGAAGTTAATAAGACGACGGATATTCAAGGATGACCCACTGCTACGATAAGCTATAATAACAACAATAATAATATAAGTATGTAGTTCGTAGACGGTTAAGGTAAACAGACACACACGTCGCCTTGGCAAACGTAACTCGAAAAAAAAAAACAATAATAATACATCCACGTCTTACACGTTAAATCGTAATCGTTTTATTATTGGATCGCATAACATTCGGACACATAATAATAATATATCAATAGTAGTTTTTTTTCTGTATATCATATAATACCTGGGTTCAGTAAACTTATACGCAATCATTTCACGATATATAATTGATGTATGTCGTTTTATTAAATAAAAATATTTTAGTGCTTTAAAACGATTTTTTTTTTTTTTTTACTGAGACGAAATCAAAGCAACAGCGATTTTCAAGTACAAAATAATTAATAAAATTATAATGGCGACCCGTTAGAACCTAATATATGTATCATGATATAGCAATAATATACACAGAGTATATAAACCGTAAGCTAAGGAAGAACGAAAGAGAGTGAAAAAACACGGTTTCGAATAATGCAAGGTCGAATATTATTATAACACGAATAGTTTGTTCGACGACGGGCAAGAGGTATGCATATTTATGTTTGAATCTATTTCACGATGAAATGTAGTGGTGGTATACGTGTGTCGTCTTTCTAACGAAAAAACGCCGAACAGAAAAAGGTATATTTGATAATAACATTATTCCTTCGTACTGGCACATAAAATACCGGGAACCTTTATTTTCATATTTATACAATACTACACAGTACATTGTAACATAAAATTATATATAAGAACATATTGATCTCTTAATAAGTAATTACACTGGTCCCGTAATACTAAGGCACATGAGGCCGTGTTTCGTACAAAATAATAATTATAATACAATTAAAAATAATAATAATAATAATAATAATAATAATAATAATAATAATAATAATAATATTATTAATAATAATAATAATAATAATAATAATAATAATAATCACATACAGTTCAAATCGTACATACATATAAAATAATCAAATATGTATATAAAAAATAAACGTTGGGTATCACATTAAAACATTTGAAAAACGCAATTGAAATTTATCGAAACGGTTCACCACAATGATATATATGATCGGAAATTTGTTCTTAATTTTTGTTTTTTTTCCCCCTTTTTGTTTTTCACGGTTACTTAATTTTAAGACGGCAAAATACTTAAACTAATAGAAAAAAATGTAATAAAAAAAAAAAAAAAATACCAAGTCTATCAAAAACTATAAACAGGTAAAAATGTTGAGAGACATAATACGCGGACTGTTAATTTCCTACACCTAACGCACGACAATGTGTAGTACACGCGCGATTAAACTTATACAAATACGACGAACGGGCGTGCGCACCCCACGGTATCCGCACGTATTTGTGATATATATAAGCCCCGGGGTAACTCAAAATAAGATAATAAATAAAAAAAAAGAAGACGGAAAAACAAAAAAAAAAAAAAAAATACATAACATTGAACTTTTTTCAAACGGAGTACAAAAATATATATATATATAATACGCGCAGTGATATCGTAATGACCGCGTACACTCGACGGCAGTACGGGCGGGGAGAAAAAGAAGGCTGCGCAATACACAATATAACATATTCATTATATATAACTCTTATATTATATAATATTTACCTATATATACATACGCATACATATATATACAAATTTGTATTCGTGTTCTACGTAGTATGGTTAAAGGGTATGGTTTAAACACAAATGCGTAAACGTGTGTACATAATATGCATACGATATCAATAATAATAATAATAACTGAGGGGAGGGAAATAGAGAGAGAGAGAGAGAGAGAGAGATAAAGTGAGAGATAGAAATAAAAATTTTCCACTAAAAGAGTATGCTCGGTTACATACGCAGACACGTTTGTGAGAGTATGTTTTTTCGGGCGTGTTTGAGCAATATTTTGTTGACTGCGCGCGGGAGCGACCGTTTTTAACAACGGCGGTGACGGCGGCGTTGGCGACGATTGCTGCTGCTGCTGCTGAGGCTCGTCGTCGACGGCGGTCAGTGAGCGCCGGCCGTGGCCCTGTGCACCAAATCCGGCCTGGACAGTCCGTTGCCATTTATGTAGTAATCCGATTGTTTGCTGTAACCGTTCGGCAGCTGGGATACACCGTTTGCGGTCATTTTCTTCTCGTTGCTCACCTGACACGAGCGGAAAAAATAAATAAAAACATCAGGTTAATAATAATAATAATGTTATGCGAAAAAATGCAAAATAAAATTTGTAGCTTAGAAACCCTCGCTACATGAAACGAATTATGTTCTTAGAAAGCATTGCGTATGATCAACAAAAAAAATATACACTTTGCATAAAAATCCGGACCCAAGTAATAACAATAACGTTACACGCGTATCGTGGCAGTGGAATTATTCAGAAGTCAGAGGGACAAAGTCACGGTAACCCGTCCGTACACATTATCTCGAATCGGTTTCGCGATAGGCACTTATTTTAAGGCGACAATAACACCGAATCGCTGCAGTGATTCGCGCACGTTTTTCAATCAAATTTTTTAGTCTACACGTGTAACTCAATTACGAATATCAGTTCTAAAATCGTTGTACACCAAGGTCATATTCCACCTATAATTCTGTCGTATAATGCAATGGACGACTGTTTAGTTCGATTTATACTCCTCAAAATTCGTACGTTCTACGGTGAAAAATTGTGGTCGACAAAAACGCAAAAATTCCACCAGATTTTTAGTCGGTAATGGAAATAATCACGTCACTGTACCTATCGTACGCGACAAGCACGTGCGAAAAGTGCACAAGTACTCTCCTGGAGTATGTGCAAAGAGATTGCAGATTTGTTATGTTCATACACACGTATACAGAGAGAGAGAGAGAGAGAGAGAGAGAGAGAGAGGAGTGAGAGACGGAGACGTTGGTCAGTTATCGAACTAGTTTAATAATTCGCGTCGGGTTTATCCAATGTCACGTATCGTTCGTCGGCGATCGCCTTGGCCAGTTACCAGACTGAATACCACATTCGTTATACTATATTACATTAACAACTATATTTCTGTGACGAGTTTGTTCGATTTCTACAACGATAGTATTAATATCGTTATTATCGTTGAGGATGAACGACGACGTGAACACATTCAAACAATCATAAGACATGTTAGTCCGGAAAGTTTCGAAAACCATATGGGATCGTCATGAATGGGGTGTTGGGAAACGAAAAATCATCGAGATGGAATGTGATGCTTAAAAGTCACATAGCGTACGGAACCCATCGCTATTTGTACTCTACCACGTTGTATTCAGTTTTCGTCGGTCGAAAAAAAAAATAAATATAAATCATCGAAAAATTAAATCCGTTCAATACAATTAGAATTTATACACAAGAATATTATAATAAGTAAAATTCGTTCGATTGCGGAAAAAACTGTGTACTAACAATATTTTATGCTTAAAGTGGTTTCTTAATAGAAAAAAAAAAACGTATATTATAACGTAGTAAAAACTACATGCACGCTAACATTGGTATGGACTAGACGTGTGTACCGTCGTCGTTCACAAGGTCTTAAAACAAAAAGAATGCCGTGCTATCACCGATCATTAGACTTGGCTAGTATTTCAAATAAAACATGATGCAACAGGTGTTTTTTCTTCACCACAGTGAATCAACCAATTTTAACTATGATATGGCGTACCGAGGCGATAATTAATACTGGATACGAACCCGGGTAGAAAACGTCTAGAAATTATCGAAAAAAACAAAAGTACGTGATTCTTTTGAACAAATTACTGCAGCGCTCGGTCCATACATGACGTTTGTGTGCAATGAATAATTTGCATAACGTGAAATCGACGACACACTTAAAAAATAATAACTCTGAACGTGATCGCCCCCTTTATCCGCCGGAGAGCACAAACCCGTAGTGTAATTCCACTGAATTATTTATAAATATACGGCGAAAAGACGACAGTGGTGGTGGTGGTGCTCTTTTTTTTTACCTTTTGTTTTGATGATTTCGAGTATTGCTGTTTGTAAAACTCCTTGAAAAGGAAGAAGAACATTACGGCGTGCATACCGATCCACCAAACGAATGCCTTGGGGTAATTGCAATCGATAAACAGCAATTGGAATGCGTGAATCATGATTGCCAAGAACTGAATCATTTGAAGTGAAGTCAAATACTTCTTCCACCACAAGTATTTCTGTACGTTGGGGCCCAATGCGGCTAACATGTAATATGCGTACATGATGATGTGCACAAACGTATTCAGAAGACCGAAGAATGTGCTGTGGCCACCTGTGAACAAACACGAGTTGATGTAATTCAAAAACACGTAACTTAAGATACTTTTTTGTGGTCAAAAGTTATAAGCTCGATAGCTTTGAAACCAATAAAATGATCGCTGTATTTTATCGACCAGTTCTTTTTCTAACAAGTCGATCTTTCAGGATGGTTGAAAAATGTTAAGTATCGTTTTATGTAAAACCGTATGAATCTTCTCAGAAATATACAATAAAAAATACGGTGACATGGTTAATGCGAACGTAATTTCCTTTGCAACAGGAAACTTCTTGTCATAAGGTCTCGGTAAAGGTCATCTTCAATCTTTGTCAAATTTATTATCACACAATAAATTGGATAACTTAATTGTTCTATCACTTTATGTCGCAGTCAGAGGTCAAAACAAATCGCTAATTTATTCGACAGCAACAAATAGTCGTAGGATATTAAAATTAATTTTATAAATTCATTTTAAAATAATAACACGATTTTAATTTTTACAATATTACCTGGTGTAAATTTTACTCCAAACCACACACTCATTGGCATCACTCCGTGATGAATCACGTGTAGGGTAGAGATGTGTCTATCTTTTTTGCGAAGGACGAAGAATATCTACACACAACATAAATGTGGTTCAGTTAGTCTCAAGTTATATGGTATCTTAAACAAAATTCAAAAAATGTAAGTTACCGTATCCATAAATTCTGTGAATTTCGAAAAGTAATACCACCAACATATGTTTACCATCTATAGTCGCCCGAAAACAGAAAGAACATATTAGTAAAATAAATATAGGTTTTATTTAATTACAAAAAAAAACACCACGCAACTTGACACAAACAAAATAAAAAAAAATAAAAAAAATAAAAACTATAAATATTATGACGGTAAATACCAGTCAAATAATTAAGTAAAAGGAAAAAACAAAGTAATAGTTAAAATTTGAAAAACGACGATATGTATGCCATTCTAACTCACCCGTAATGTCATTGGATGATTTGAATAATCTACTGGTTCGCACCGAAAATTATACCTCCCAGTCAGCCAACCTGATATGCTAAGCTGTAAAAACCACCACCATAAATAATGTACAATTTTTACAGCCAATATTATCAAACACATTAATTATATATATATATATAGTACTAAACGTATATAACACCAATGGACCTAATAAAATCGGTTAAACGATCAATTTAAGTTACTCCCATGATAAAGGTTAGATTTTTTTGGTAAGATTATTCAAATGTTTCTTCCGTTCAATTTTAAATAAGCTTTTAAAACCAAGATGTCGATTTTATATTACATACATTTATGTTACAATTGATGAAAATGTATAGAATAATTTAAACCATCGAAAAATTATTGAAAATTACAAGCCTATTGGATCCCTCTTGAATATTAGATTGGTATATTACATGCATTAAATAGTTTGCCATTTTGCTTTAGATAATTAAAATTAATTATTTCCAAGATAAAATCGTTAAAAAATGTAATGTCCAATCAAACGTAATACAAGCACTGTGCTTCGAAAGTATTATTCACTAAACAATCATGATATTTTTTCAAAATTCCCAAACATCAAGCGGTCTTTTTATACGAAAAAATACATATTGATAAATTACTAAGTGAATTCTGCTCGTAGCATGCATTAACTAATAATAAATTGTTTCATTATGCTTATAAATATATATATATATATATATATATATATATATATATAAATATACACCATAGCCCAGCGTTCAATAGATTATATTACACAAGTGTGTCGGGAAAAACATTCACAGCCTTCCGACACACATTGCGTAATGCAATGTTATTTTCCGAAAAAAAAAAAAGTATATAATAATAATGCATTCAAATCAACCTCACTATTCGCATAATTTTCTCATGTTATTACTCGTGTTTAATACAACGTAGGAAAGTAAAATATCCATAGTTGTTAATTAATCGGGTCTAGGTATTTTATGTCTATATCTGTGTGTTATGGTTATGTTATAATAGATATAAACATACAAATGTACATGTTTATGGATAGCCAGAAGAATACAAAAATATAATGTATTATACGTGTTAGTGTTAAATGTGTAAGGCGAAACCCTATTATAATAAATCACAATTAGCATCCGAAATTATATTCGAATGGAAACCATGCATTTACCGAAGCTTTTTAAACAACACGTTCTACTTACCCGGATAATAATCGTCTTTCAGTTGTTTAAATTAAATAACTGTGTGTATAATTGTATCTATTGATTTAAAATGAATTATATAAATAATTAATCCGTGTATCATAAATACGGCTTGTATTAATTTGTGTCAAGTAAACGATATCGATTTTATCAAATTTTCAAAAAAAAGGATTCATTTCTTTTTTGTAAACTTACTCTTATTGTGGATGGTTTATTCGTATAATCTACCGGTTGGCATCGGAGACTATATTCACCCCACCAGCCGCCCATCATACACTGCAATGCCCATCAAGTATAAATTGTAGACAAAATTAATGAACATTCAATTCACGATGTCGGTAATACATGAATTTTATGAGGTAATTAAAGTAAACAAGTTAGGTTTAGGTGCATTGGGGCTAGGTAAATTAGGTCCCGGCTAATAATCTGATTGATTTTCAACGATAAAATGTCAATGTCATCTTTGATTATGCCTAATTAAAATACGTATATTATACGGTGCTACAGGAGGATGGAAAATATAAGTTGGACAGACAAAATCATTAATGAAGAAATTTTAGGAAGGGTATCAGAGAGGAAATAAATGTGGTTGAGTATACAGAAAAAGCGAAATGAATTAATAGGTGGATATTTTGTGATTATATACTAGATACTTAAGAGTATGTCTCAGCTGATGCTAAATTTCCCCCAAATATTTGGTCACGATTTTCTGCTACCACCGTGCATACAACCAATAGCTGTGAATCATATCATTCACGATTAAACCTTCGATTTTACATCCTAATATTTTTAACTTTGTAGACGATTTATTAGAAATACAGTTAGAAATATAAGTAAAATTACGAAGCATAAATCAAAAAAAGGAAAAATATGCCGGATAAAAAACATAAACTAAGGAGCAAATGACAAAGTAAACTAATAATATAATAACCCGATTTGAGTTTGTTCAATCCATATCATTTAATTTTTTACCAAGCGCATAATTTATAATTAATTTTTATATTTTATATTTTATAACATGTATGTTATTAATTCATTTTTTTTTGTATATTATTAATAAAATTAGTTTATTTTTGCTGTGGTTGGGACCCAATTTATTTACTACCTATTTTTTCCCGGGACTCAACTTACCTACTGCCTACTTTTTTGCGAGACTCAATTTACCTACAAAAAGTCATTTTGGTCCTAATTTACCAGATCCTGGTGCATCTTCATACATAACACAAGTATGTACAAAACATACATGTTCTATACATTAAATTGTGTGTGTGCACATGCGTGTGAGAGAGTATGTATTAATAAGAGTGTTTATAGTTAATCCATGTACAAAGGACGATAGACTACTCGTCAATATTGGTGCAAATGTTACGATCGTGATGATGGGATGATGATATTATATTCAAAAATACCTAGACCTAAAATAAATTATCGTTATTCACGAGTATTTAAAAAATCATCTCTCTACGCACTTACGTATAAACAAATACAGAATGTTCTTACATGGAAAACTTCACACTAAATTATAAGAAACTTAAAGAACTTGGGTTTTCATTATGGTTGAACTGAAATGTTTTAAAAAAATAATGCTAGACTCGCTTTTTGTTTCTAACCAGATTTACAAATAATTTATACCTACTATAGTCAAAATGTCTCTAAGTAATTTAAATTTAAACCAATTATTTTGAACAATTTAATATTATTTTTAATTCAAACTATATAATATTAATATTAAGGGCTCTAATATTTTTCTTCATCATAATAATCAATCTACTATGGTTATACCCTTAAAATATTAGGTACTCTTAAAGTTTTCCTCCTGTTATAATAAGAAACCTTCTATGATTGTACATCTAATAGATTACTTAATTTTTTTCTTGTTTAAGTATTAATTATCTATTTTTAACGATAAACGCCAAACGTGAAATTCACCCCAAAAGAGTTCACATCACTTACGAAAATAAGTGTGGTGATATTTCTCGGGATAAATTACGTATAACCAGACTAAAAAACCTTTTATGTTTTTTTTTTTTTAAATAGTATAACATTGAACTTGAACAATTGCCTTGTAACTATATTTTAGTTTTTAATAATAAAAATTTTTTTTTAAATGTTATACATCGACGCTTACCTCGTAGAACAACCAAGAACTGAATAGTACTTGGAAAAGGTTGTACACGATGAGAACATTTCTTAATTCCATGGGCTTGCGGTTGGCCATCAATCGCGGTCCCGCAACTTTTACGGTAAACACGTAAGCGGCACATATACATAGTGTAGGGAGAGGACTGCTCATCAAAAACCAGTCTTTTGTGCGAGGATCTATAAAGAATAAAACAAAATAATTAATGCTATCATTTGATAAGTCCGTGAGAGCATTTAGGATCGCATTTCGTGAAGATTTTAGTAACGTTTTTGAAATGAAAACTGTTATTTCAAAAACTGAAAATAATAATTCCATTGATTTACTAATGATCTTTTAAAATAATTAATAATTTTGTATAAATACATTTCAATTAAAATATCCAGATTAATGGTGTTGTTTAAAAACAAAACTGAACATAATATACAAATCATGGAATTATTTTACCGTTTCGACAGCTAAATACGATAAAAAATTTTATTTGAATACATAATAATTTTTAAGGTGGTTAAAAAATAAATTTCATATCGTTTGTTCAAATATAAATAAATAATTATTTATCATTAAAAAGAGTAAACACGGTCGATTATTTAAACGTTATAATTATTTTATAACGCTTTTACAGATTAATAACTCATGTGAAAAATAAGTTTTCTCGGTATAAAATGTTGTACGTTGAAATCAAGTGAATGATTTTTTTTCACTTTTTTTTACAGCCAGGAAAAATATTCATTCCGTCGCAGTGATATTTTTGGACGAGTAAGGAGAATGAATAAAAAAAAATTTACAAAAACCCTTAAGTCACTCACCTCCATAGTTGTCGAAAAATCCTTGGACTGCGCTCAATATGACCACCATGATTGCACCGGAGTGTGAACGACGAACACGATTTAAAAAAAATTCACCTACAAAACACGGAACAGAAAAAAAAAAATCAATATCAAAAGGATAAGAAAAAAACGTTATCGAATGTTAGTTATTTTAATATTAATTATTAAAATATTACGGCGATAGAAACATGAAAAAAAAAAAAACGATCAAAAACGTATTTACTATTATGTTTAGGTACGTTTATCGAACGCCGCGAGAGTCGGTTTGGCGCGCACGAACAGAACGATGGTCGATGGTCGGACGGTGGATCGCGACTGTAACAACGTTCGCGCAACGCGAGCGACGCGACGATGGCGAATGTGCGTTACGGCGACGGCGACGGCGAGTTGTGGCGGCAGTCGCGCAGGTTTATTACTATTACTTTTGCCGCCGCCGAACCAGACCCGTGACAACGGCGGCGGCAAGTAGGTTGGTCAACGCGCGCAGGGTCAAGACCGGCCGAGGGATGGCAAGGTCGCGAGCACATCTCAAACCCGTTCCGCGAACCCGAATACCTTTTTCGATTCAATTTCGCACGAGCGATTTTTAACCATCGCCGATTCGACGACTCGCGTAATATTTTCGTGTGTTAACGCTATTTAACTCGGGATTTATAGCGCTAAAAAGTATACACGGTATGCATAGGTCCAAGTGCGCGGTGCAACTCAAGTATAACTATTTATGATTTTCATAGTAGAGCTATAGATCGTCCCGTCGTTGTTGGTCGGATTTTCACTTGTTTCTGCTTCGTAAAAATTATGAGTTTCTACGTGAATTTGTAAGAAAAAAAACGTCGATCGTGCATATATTGTCAACGTATATTCATGTAAGTCCCGTGATTTTAGTATACTTTCGCGTGAACCACCCTGTACAGTTTTAGCGGTACGTACTATATACATTATATTATCGATTGAGACGCGCATATGGCGGAGTCCTGATTCATACGCGGACGGACAGTTTTCCAAGCGATTTTGATCTGCTCTAAACTAGTCCACACGAACCGTTTTATACGTATACTATATTATTATTGCTGTGGATTAGCAAGTCAAATATAGGTGCCGGAGAGCACGATTAAGACGCTGCAGCGGGTTAGAATAATTATAATAACGATGAAGTAACAAAAACGAAACGTACAGGCACGTGTACACAGCGTACGCGATCCTACGTCGTCATTAACTCAACTCGTTTGCAGCAGTTGTTAACACAACGATTTTGCATTCCACCATCAGTACTCAAATACTATAATGATATGGTATAAATCCTGTATAATGTACGCCAACATGTTTCGTTTTCCCGGTTGTCGCGATCAAGAAAAACTGGTTGTCGCACACGCGGAAATATATACACCGAAAACCCGTGTGTCGTGAAATGCTATTCGCACACCGGTTAGCGCGAACCGTACATAACACGCCATTGTCATACAAACCAGATTCATTATTATAATTCATTATGCTCGTGATAAATCGTTGGAAAGGATCGAGTTCGGCGATTTCCGCGTGGACAGCGAACGTGAAGCTCGCACAAACCCGATGGATTCGATCTCTGTACTCGTGTGATCCACGGTTATTGAGTCTCGTCGAACAAGTGACAGCCGATGCGAGGGATAATCTCAATGGGCCTAATGAGGATAGCAATTATTTTGAACCAATTTTTTTTTTTTACAATTTTCGCTGTACACACACGATGATACCAGAGTATTTTACTTTATAGGGCCAATGAGAGGTCAAAAATTAAAAAGTCGAGCCTCGCAAAAATAATATTATGTTATTAATATTATTATTAATAACTATAAATACGAATAACATATCACGAAACGCGCGTTTAGGTTGTGTAGTGTTATTATATAATGTTTCGGTACATAAAGTATCTCCGTTATTCTTAATTACGTATTTTCATGTTTCTACGGTCGATTATTACAACTTTTCTTTCAATTCTCAAACTATATTTAAGGTCCAACTAATATCCAGTGGTAGGGCCTGGGCTCCACCGTTGTACACACGCACGCACACAGGTATATGTTTACGCTTTCCGTAACGCGTTATGCTCGCGGAAAAACCAAGAAAACGACAGCGTTGTGTCTGAACACAAGAGTAACGTAACCTGATCTAACCTATATAAAAATCGATTATTATGTCACGTGTCTGGATCTATGATTTCGCCACTGCGACCCTCGCCGCCACCACTTCACCGTCAACATAGCAGTGGCAAGTAAAATTAACGCGCCTATGCAATAAATACATAATTACGTGTTGCATTATATTATTGTGTTGTGCACACGCGGACAGGAGGTATAATATTTTTGTACGCGTGTACCGTAAATTGTCTACCGGACGTACGTTTAGTTACACCAGTTACGTATACGATTGTCCGAAGGGAAATGATGCGTGGAGACGCCGAAATATAAATGAAGACATTGATAGGGGGTGGGGAATTATGTACATTGATTTTGATTTACGCGAGTTTCGGCGATATTCAAACTGAAATTGAAACGAGACGAAAAGCGTTTTTTAAATCACACGTCAGGTAAAAAAACATTCACATCAGGGAAATGACGCACCGATAATGAACCAGAATGTTAACGCGTTCGAATTTCAATAGGTTAAATCACGATCAGCCGTTTGTCGGGGAATTATGTGTTTTATCACTGACCGAAGAACTGTCTTCAACGAATATTTAGTAAATCCATAGACCCGTTAATAGGTATTTTAGTAAGATCGTTAATTTTCAATTAAATTTGAAATACATAACACGTACACGAGTACAACTGACATGTGGTTCTAACTCCCACAAAGCGACGACTTCAATCGCTTCAATAACGTAGGCAAACTGGTATACCAACGCAGTGGCGATCTAGTTTGATCCCGTATACTTCTGAAAAACCGACACTTTGTGTTCGCAAGAAGAGACGTGCCGGGAAGAAAAGTTATAAAATTAAATCTCGAAACGGCAAAGGTCGACGGTAGTATTAGCAACAACAGTATTACCATTAAGTGTTAGGCGATGGATGGGCAACGCGCGGTCAAATTGCGTAACACGGCGACGTAGTCGTATCGTTATTTTCGTAATTCACTCTTAAGTCGACCGGTGCGAGGTGGCTTCGATTATCGCCATAATCGGTTCCCGCTAGTTGCATTTTGTCCTATATACCGGTAATTTACGGAATTTTTCGCTCGTCCACCTGTTAACGAACGCAGCGTGAAATCCGATTACAAATTAGTGATAATGACCGTCGACGTATGCAGGTTTTTAAGAACAACTTCGGATCAACTTTTTAATCATATTGTAATTTACGTCACGATTTTGATTCCGTCTTCGCGGAGAAGAGTACACGTTACATTATTTTACGGTTTATAAATCAAACGCTACGGCGTCTGTGTTAAAATGGTCTACCGGTTTGACTGGAAATCGAATTCAAGGGTTTTCAATCCTGTAAGCAAAAACGCAGGAAACCCGACTCGATTTGCACGGCAAACGTTTCACGGACAAGTTTTGTATTTTTAATCAGGTTTTCCAAATCGAAAATTAGATCGGAAATAATATGCGAGCGCCACGGAGAACCTATGGAACTCTTCCTGATGACCTCCAAGGGGAAGGTCGTCCAAAGATTTATAAAAGCATGAAAAAGTCGAATAACGAGCTTGACACAGAGTCAATGAACAATTAATGAGAGTTGCACTATAATCCCGCTTTAATGTTGGAAAATAATAATATTATTTGATTTCCAATACACAACATGACCGGTCAAAAAGTGTTCAAAAAATTTGAACAGTTACTAATTCAATGTAAAACAAAACAACAATCAAGGAAAAAAACTACTATTTGGTTTGGTAAATGCTAAATATCTAAAAATAAATCTAATCGTTGAGATTTTAGTTATTTAAAAAAAGGAAAAAAAGTCCTAGAATACAATTAAAGATTGAAAGATTACTTTGTAAACAAATAAAACCGTAGACGTAAAACACCATTCTTCTTAAAATCATAATTACTATCATAAAAATTCTTTAATTTTTTAAAAAATTATTATTATAATTATTATTATAATATTATAATATTATAATTATTATTATTATTATTATTTAATTATTATTATATTTTTTTTAATTTTTTCTTAAAATCATAATTACTATCATAAAAATTCTTCAATTTTTTAAACCATACAAATATCCGCTGCACATGAATTGCATCCCAACCATATTTAACGACTACACGAATTACGTACCAAAGTATAAACATTATTTTCCTTCCTATTTGATACAGACTCAGAACTGTCGATAGCATATTATGACTATCGGTAGGTTAAAAATATTGATTTTTTTTCGTTGTCATACTATTAGAAATAATTAAAACGAAAATGTGTAGGTTTAAATTATAGAAATGTAATATAATAATTCAAATCAACAATAATAAAAAAATTATAAATATACAATTAAAAAAAAACTGGTAAAAACTTAATTATAAACAAGACGGATAATCAACCGTCAATTGGCCACATTCATATTTGCCATATTTCCGGATAAAATTGATATAATATCGTCAGTATAAAAATCCTCTACTTCATCTGATTTTATAAATGGGAGGCCAAAAAAATAATTTCTTGTAGTCATTAAAATAAATATAAAATTGGACATAATTCATATACCCCAATTATCAATTTTTTTTTTCGGGACATAATTCCTGTGTAGCTCAAATAACAGTTATTAAATACACGCCAAATAACTTATTTAATATTTTTTTTAATTTAAAATATATAACATATGTCACATATGACGGTCAACAATCCGACGATAATGTAAATATAACACTAATATAGTCATTAAGCAATAATATTTTATCTATAGTTAATCAATTAATTATTTTAAATGTATTAAATATGATTTATATATAAACAACTTTTATTAATACAAAGATATAAAAATAGCGAACTGCACATTCTGTGAGTTGCCTTACGACACAGTTTAACTTTTCAATGCATTCATATATAGTTTATAAATTAGAAATAAAATAAAATAATGATAATAAAGTAAACTGTAAAAAATAAATAAAAGTTCATAAAGTTTATAGTTAAAAACCATATACTATTCGTTAATAATTATAATACGTAAATAATGTAAAAAATTCAAACAAATTATCGTTTTAAACTTGTATACTGTAATTATATACAATTATAGTACGCACTACATATAAATAGTAGAAAACTATTTGAAAATTTACAACCAGCATAATTATAAGTACTGATAAGTAATTACTAAATTATTGAGAAGTAAATGTGTGCTTAGTAAATATAATTTTGTTCATTGAAATAATTAGAATTCTTACAAAGTTGGAAATTA